AGTCACTTTCCCGAAACGTGGCTGTGGAGTATTTACATGATTGGGTAATTTAGAATGCACTTTTCTCTTCAGATGAAAGAGTTCGCAGGCCAATGATGAGAAAGGGAAATAAAAAGGTGACAACCACCGAGATAATGTATAAGACTACACAGTCTTCAATAGAGTCTGGACCAGATGATTCCTCAGAAGGAAAGACTACAGAGGTCCGAAGCCAGTTTCCTGAGACTTGGCTCTGGGAACTACATTTTGTTGGGTAATTCTGTCCTCTTTTCTTTTGTTCAGCTTTCTCTGTCAGGTCTAAGTTTTAAACATACAAAGTGTATTTTCTAAGATCTTTTAATGCTGACTATTGGTCCTCTTTCTCCCGCTGTTGAATAAGATGACCATTTAGCAGAAATGCTTGGTCAAGGTGATGCTCTATTTGGCACTGTTCTTAATTTAGGTTTAATTCAAAAAAAAAAAATCTGCTAGTGTTAGAGGTGAATTTTCAGAAACCTGGAATATATCCAGATAATTTGACAGTTCTGTTTGTCATTGTTATTAATTAAGGTTTTATTGCGAAAAAAAGTCTACTAATGTTAGAGGTAAATTTTCAGAAACCTGGAATATATCCATATAATTTGACAGTTCTATGGTTTTTGACTTTGATAATGGGAATCATCTAATAAGAGAACAATCATTTAACTTAAAGGGGGCGGGGTTTGGTTATTCTGTTTAACAAAGGGGGAGGGATGTGGTTATTCTGTTTAACAAAGGGGGAGGGGTGTGGTTATTCTATTTAACAAAGGGGGAGGGGTGTGGTTATTCTGTTTAACAAAGGGGGAGGGTGTGGTTATTCTGTTTAACAAAGGGGGAGGGGTATGGTTATTCTGTTTAACAAAGGGGGAGGGGTGTGGTTATTCTGTTTAACAAAGGGGGAGGGATGTGGTTATTCTGTTTAACAAAGGGGGAGGGGTGTGGTTATTCTATTTAACAAAGGGGGAGGGGTGTGGTTATTCTGATTAACAAAGGGGGAGGGGTGTGGTTATTCTGTTTAACAAAGGGGAGGGGTATGGTTATTCTGTTTAACAAAGCGGGAGGGGTGTGGTTATTCTGTTTAACAAAGGGGGAGGGATGTGGTTATTCTGTTTAACAATGGGGGAGGGTATGGTTATTCTGTTTAACAAAGGGGGAGGGATGTGGTTATTCTGTTTAACAAATGGGGAGGGGTATGGTTATTCTGTTTAACAAAGGGGGAGGGGTATGGTTATTCTGTTTAACAAAGGGGGAGGGGTGTGGTTATTCTGTTTAACAAAGGGGGAGGGGTATGGTTATTCTGTTTAACAAAAGGGGAGGGGTGTGGTTATTCTGTTTAACAAAGGGGGAGGGATGTGGTTATTTTGTTTAACAAATTTATGGAAAAAAAATATTTTAGTTTAGGTGTATTTAAAAAAATTGATTCCAAGAATTGCTTAAAAGATCTCAAGCATATCAAGAAATAGTTAAGACCTTATTTTGAATTTTAAGATTTTCTCTGGTTATTCAGTCCTTACTTGACCTTTCAGTAATTAAATCATCAAAATGGAGAGCAACAATTGAAACATGGTTCCTTTAATAAATATACATAATGAATGTACAGGTACATCAACCCAATGTCCAGGGGGAGGTGTAGAGAGCTTACCCAACCTGTATTTTAACAAATTTGTTTTTTTGCTTTGACAAAGTAAAAAAAGGAGGACTTGGGCGTGCTTTTGTCTGCGACGACTGCATCAACAATATATCAGTTTGTGATTAGGTCAGTTTATGGAAATATCTAGTTGTAGGTCAATGATATTTGGTATGCAGTTGTATAAGAATTGGCACATATCATTCCCATGGAAATTATTTGGCCATGCTCCCTCAGTCATGGTCTATTCACTTTTTGCTTAGTTTACATGTATTAGTTTTTGATTAGGTCAGTGATATTTGGTATGCAGATATATTAGCATTGGCTTATCTTATGTCCATGGAGAATATTTGGCCCAGCCCCCTCAGTCATGGTCTATTGATTTGAATGTTTTGAATAATTTACATGTTAAAGTTTGTAATTAGGTCAGTTTAAGAAAAACAACTCTTGTTAGGTCAATACTTTTTAGTATGCAGTTGTATTAGCCTTTGCAAGTCTCATTTCCATGGAGATTATATGGGCCCGCCCCCTCTTATATAAGTTATTATAAGTCAATGATATTTGGTTTGCAGTTGAATGAGCTTTGGCATCCCTGATTTCCAAGTAGGTTATTTGGCCTTGCTCATTTAATCATGGTTCATTGACTTTGAATGTTTTGTATAGTTTACATGTCAATGTATTGCCATCTTAATTTCAACATTTGCATTATGACATCAAAATTACATCAAGTCGTGGCATCTCTGTGTCAATAGTTTAATAATTTATCAACAAACTACTCTTTTCTGATTTCTTATTTACCTACTAATCTTTCCTGATTTTTTTTTGCCAATGTATACTTACCAATAAGCCTGGTATCTTTGATGTTTTTTTTTTATTTTGAATTTACCACCTACACATAAATTTAATTTATAATTTACCACCTACATTTACTTGAGTTCCAATTTACCACCTCTATTTACTTAAATTCTAATTTACCACCTCCATTTACTTGAATTCTAATTTACCACCTACATTTACTTGAGTTTTAATTTACCACCCACATTTACTTTAGTTCTAATTTACCACCTCCATTTACTTGAGTTATAATTTACCACCTACGTTTACTTGAGTTCTAATTTACCAGCTCCATTTACTTGAATTCTAATTTACCACCTTCATTTACTTGAATTCTAATTTACCACCTACATTTACTTGAGTTCTAATTTACCACCTACATCTACTTGTGTTCTAATTTACCACCTCCATTTACTTGAATTCTTATTTACCACCTACATTTTCTGAATTCTAATTTACCACCTACACTTACTTGAGTTCTAAAATTCCACCTCCATTTCCTTGGATTCTAATTTATCACCCACATTTACTTGAATTCTAATTTACCACCACCTACATTTACTTGAGTTCTAATTTACCACCTCCATTTCCTTGACTTGAATTATAATTACCACCCACATTTACTTGAAATCTAATTTACCTCCTACATTTACTTGAGTTCTAATTTACCACCTACATTTAGTTAAATTCTAATTTGCCACCTACATTTACTTGAATTCTATTTACCTCCTACATTTACTTGAGTTCTAATTTACCTCCTTCATTTACTTGAATTCTAATTACCACCTACATTTACTTGAATTCTAATTACCACCTACATTTACTTGAGTTCTAATTTACCACCTACATATACTTGAATTCTAATTTACCACTCACATTTACAGTAGCACCATGCCTCAACCACAGAAATGTTTGCTGAAACATTCTTTATATACCATATTCTTAACTTTTGAAACCAGAATTTCAATGGACGAGGGGTGGCGCGACATATAAAATCAGGAAAAAGGTGACATATTTCTAGATAAAACACAAATGAAATCAATTCCTTTTTCAGGATACTATATTTATGAATATGAAACAGAAATACATTTCATCTTATTATATTTTCAATAAATAATACAATTACTGAATTAGCAATACATACACTTTAAATTACCGCAAATAATATAAGGTCGAAAAAGTTGATAAATTTCTAGAAAAAAGAAAAATGAAATCATTTCCTATTTCAGGATAATATATTTATAAATATGAAACAGAAATACATTTCATCTTATTATATTTTCAATAAATAATACAATTAGCAATACATACAATTTCGATTACCTCAAATAATACAAGTTTAAAAATACACCTTTACAAGGTCGTTTATTGGGGTTAGTAGCTCCTTTACTTGAGTTCTCACTTTGATACCCCATGTAATGACATTTGATACATCCACTTGATGATGTAGTGTTTTATTGACTCTTGTCTATCCTTTTTGTAGTTTTTCTCTTTTTTGCCCTGGTGTTTTCTGTTTTTCTTCAACTTGTGATTTTTGATTTGCTCTTTGTTTCATCTGCCTTGTTTTTGAAATATAATTCATGATGAACCAACATGACCTGATGGATTTCGTGCTAACACATCAACTGATCATCTGGAGCCAGCTAACACATCATCTTATTAGAATCCAAGTGGATGGATTTTGACTTTTTTCCATGGAGTTGTTGTTGACTTGTAAATGCATTGATACTAACTTTTACATAATTTGGTTACGTTTATAGTCATCTCATTGACAACAATACTGGACCAAGAGATTTTTACACAAGAGTTGGTACTGTCAATATATCACTGCAGCGAGCTGTTTGAACTAAGATTGTATTTTATCTGATTTTTCTGCTTGAAAATAATGTGATAAATAGATAATGTAGCAATGTTTATAGAAATGTATTCTTATCAGATTCCTCGTTAATTTGGTAAAAACCTAATCTTATCACTCAACTTTTTATCTTAAAATAACTACTGTGAACCAGCTATAAATTTTCACAAACATTGTTTTTTTCACATTTAGAAAAAAAATTATGCAGATGTAGACTATATTGAAAATATAACAAAATTGGATATGTTCTCATGTGAATACATTTGTTTCAAAGTTGCTAATACCAGAAAATCAAGTGCAATGACGTTGGCTAGAAATGGCTAAATGTGAAAAAAAGTGTCTGTGGAAATAAGTTGGTTTAAAATTTGTTATGTTAAATTTTGTTGTGAAATAAGGGCACAGTTCTTTCTCAGTTCACAGTTCTAAATGCTAATTGAAACTTCCCTTATTTAATCCAGCTTTTGATGAATTAATAACAAAAACATATTTCAGATGATTTATTTTTCCCTAACAGGTGACATTAATAGAGATTTCAGTTTCACTTCCAGGTACAAGAAATTCATTGGTTTTCACAAAATGGAGTATGCCCTGCAAGGTCATGTTAGGTCACTTTGGGTTAATAAATAGTTTTAAAATCTGTTACCATGGAAGCATTTCTCGTTCTAGATGGTCCAGTCCCTGGTCCACGAGGTTCTAATCCATTAGAAGGGGGTATTGGTCTTGGAGGGGCAAAACTGCCGATATCCAATGGCCAAGGGGTTGAAAAAAAACCACTGTCGCAACAAAAACAAATTGGACTGAGAAAGAACTTCCCTGAGACTTGGTTATGGAATATTTATGTGATAGGGTAGGTCAGCTGACTAGGAATTAAAGGAGGTTTGTGGTAAACATAAATGAGACAGCAAACTGACAACACAAATCAAAATGACATCTAGAGATCAACATAGGGTCTTCAACAAAAGTTAAATGTCCGAAACAAATATCTGAAAGTTGCCTCAGGTCAAGATGAGCACATTTATCATGTATGGCCTTTTTGTATTTAGTAAACACAGTTTGGAAACATTGAATATCTCAAACTAACTCAAAATGCTTGGAAACTTTGTCTGATAGACATTAATGATAGCTTTTTGTTGACTATTTAGAATGGTACCAGATAATACCCATTCTTTATTTTTGGTTAATTCTGCTAAGAGAGAACTATTGTTTAAGACTTCTGAAATTTGAAAGTGTTATTACGATCCTTGTTGTGGTGGTTACATTTTAAACATAAGTTCTAAATGTTTGCATCTTTAAACATTTACACTGCAATAAACTGAAATGTAGACCATATGTGTAAAACATTTTAAGTTACATTAACTATGAATTTTGTTTGTTTTTTTTCAGAGATGATGGAGAAGTGAATGTTACATCAACTATTCCCCACACAATCACAGAGTGGGTTGGCAATTCCCTATGTACAAACTTGGATGTAGGAGTGGGTGTGTCTTCAGTGACTGGTATAACAGCTTTTCAACCTTTCTTTTTGTCTTTTACTCTTCCTTACTCAGCTATTAGAGGAGAGACTGTACCAATTTTGGTTTCCATCTTCAACTACATGACAGAATGTTTAGTGGTGAGTACTAATTCAGTGATAAATTAGATATCAATAAAACCAAAAATTATTATTTTTTTTTATTATTATTTCAGTCAAGGTAATGGCATAATCAGTTGTATATGTCTGTAATATGGACAAAATTTACATGGTTTACATTTGTTCAACTGTTATCTGATAAAAAAAAATAGCTTACTAATAGTTTGAATCAAGACCTTGTTTTAAAAAGGAGAAAACTTTTTTTAGCTGACCGTTCCAAAGGAACTGTGAGCTTAAGCCATCACTTGGCGTCGTCGTCGTCCGTCTGGTGTAAACTATTTCAAGCATCTTCTCCTCTGGAACTACTGAACCAATTCCAACCAAACTTAAGCTGAATGGTCCTTAGGGTATCTAGAATAAAGTTTGTTTTATTTTCTGTTTCGTCAAAAAACATGGCTGCCATGGCTAAAAATAGAACATAGGGGTAAAATGCAGTTTTTGGCTTAAATCTCAAAAACCAAAGCAGTTAGAGCAAATCTGACATGGATAAAAGTGTTGATAAGGTAAAGTTCTATCAGCCCTGAAATTTTCAGATGAATCTAATAACCCATTGTTGGGTTGCTGCTACTAAATTGGTAATTTTAAGGTAATTTTGCAGTTTTTATACGACTGCAAAAAAATTTTGAGGTCGTATATTGGTATGACGTTGGCGTCGTCGTCATCGTCGTCCGGCGTCGTCGTCCGAATACACAATGGTTTTCGCACTCTAACTTTAGTTTAAGTGAATGGATCTCTAGGAAATGTTACCATAAGGTTCAATACCACAAAAGGAAGGTGGGGATTGATTTTGGGGGTTATGGTACCAACAGTTAAGGAATTAGGGGCCAAAAAGGGGCCGAAAATAAGCATTTTTGTAACTTCCAGACATAACTTGTGTGTTAGCATATGGATCTCTTTGACATTGTACCACAAGATTCCATATCACAAAGGGTCAATGCTGGGATTGATTTTGGGGTTAATTGCCTCAAAATTTTAGGAATAAGGGGCCGAAAGGGGGCAAAAAACAAGCATTTTTCTAGTTTCATGACAATAACTTGTGTGTAAGTGTATGGATCTTTCTGAAATTTTACTACAAGGTTCCATTTCACAAAGGGAAAGCTGGAATTGAGTGTTGTGGTAATTGCCCAAAACGTTTAGTAATAAGGGGCCTAAAAAGGGGTTTAAAATAAGCATTTTTTAGTTTCTAGACAATAACTTGTGTTCAAGTGTATGGATCTCTCTAAAATTGTATTACAAGGTACCATACCACAAAGGCAAGGCTGTTATCGAGCTTGGTTTGGGGGGAAAGGGGGGTGGGGGTGATGAATCATAAGGGGGGCGGGGGTCAAAAAAGGGGCAATTTTTTTTATTCCTTTTTTTTTTTGTTTAAAATTTACATTTTAAGTTAGTTATTTTTTATCACGAAGAGAAAGTAGGAATTGAGTTTTGGGGTTAATTGCTCAAACATTTATGAATAAGGGGCCAAATATTGGTCAATAATAAGGATTTTTATACGACCGCAAAAAACTTTTGTGGTCGTATATTGGTATGACGTTGGTGTCGTCGTCGTCGTTGTCGTCGTCGTCCGAATACACATTGGTTTTCGCACTCTAACTTTAGTTTAAGTGAATGGATCTTTTTGAAATTTTACCATAAGGTTAAATACCACAAAAGGAAGGTTGGGATTGATTTTGGGGGTTATTGTGCCAACAGTTAAGGAATTAGGGGCCAAAAAGGGGCCAAAAATAAGCATTTTCTAGTTTCCAGACAATAACTGTGGAACGGTGTATGGATCTCTCTGAAATTATACTACAAGTTTCCATACCACAAAGGGATGGTTAGGATTTGCTTTGGGGGGTTATGGCTCAAACCGTTTAGGAATTAGGGGCAAAAAAGGGGGAAAAACAAGGTTGTCCTGGTTAATGGACAAATACTTTAGTACAAAACATAATTTAAAGCAGTGTAAGGGAGATAAATCAAATACATCATTGAAATTATCTCCCTTACACTGCTTTTAAATTATGTATAAAGTAATGGTTAATGAACAATTAAGATAATTTAAAACAGTGTAAGGGAGGTAATCCAAATACAACGTTTTGGTTACTTCCCTTACACTGCTTTTAAATTATGTTTAAAGAAATGCATATTTATAAAGGAAGACCAGTAAAAATATCTGCAAATGTTGCATCTTTTTTTTTTACAAAAAAATCCATATGAAAGATTTGACACTATATTTTAAATTCTATTATAAAATAGATTAAGTTAGCACTATGGTAAATTTAAATGGGTAATTATGGATGCCAACTCCATTGGAAACTTGAATTGAGATTATGACCATATCTTGAATTTTTTGGGGGAAAAAAAGGGGGGGGATAAAAAGAAATTGTGGGGGTCAATTTTTTCTCATTTCAGATTTCAGAAATTAAAAAGAATTATTCTTCAAAATATTATTTTTTTTTCAAATTTCAAATATTGAAAAATTTCAAGAAGTAATCTTTAATTGCACAGTATGGCGCATTAGATTTGTAAAATCTTTGATCACATTTATTTATTTGTTATGCCGAATCTAACAGTGTATTTAGATTTTTAATTTTGGGTCCAGTTTTCAAATTGGTCTACATTAAGGTCCAAAGGGTCCAAAATTAAACTTTGTTTGATTTTAGCAAAAATTGAATATATGAGGTTCTTTGATATGCTGAATCTAAACATGTATTTAGATTTTTGATTTTTGGCCCAGTTTTCAAGTTGGTCCAAAGTGGAGTCCAAAATTAAACTTTGTTTGATTTCAACAAAAATTGAATATATGGGGTTCTTTGATATGCTGAATCTAAACATGTATTTAGATTTTTGATTATGGGCCCAGTTTTCAAGTTGGTCCAAATTGGGGTCCAAAATTAAACTTTGTTTGATTTCAACAAAAATTGAATATATGAGGTTCTTTGATATGCTGAACCTAACCATGTATTTAGATTTTTTATTTGTAGGCCCCGCTATCAAATTGGTTCATATTGAGGTCAAAAGGGTCCAAAATTAAACTTTGTTTGATTTCATCAAAAATTGAATTATTGGGGTTCTTTGATATGCCAAATCTAACCGTGTATTTAGATTTTTAATTTGGGTCCCGTTTTTTAAATTGGTCTTCATTGAGGTCCAAAGGGTCCAAAATTAAACTTAGTTTGATTTTAACAAAAATTGAATTCTTGGGGTTCTTTGATATGCTGAATCTAAACATGTGTTTAGATTTTTGATTATGGGCCCAGTTTTCAAGTTGGTCCAAGTTGGGGTCCTAAATTAAACTTTTTTTTATTTCAACAAAAATTGAATATATGGGGTTCTTTGATATGCTGAATCTAACCATGAATTTAGATTTTTTATTTGTGGGCCCCGCTATCAAATTGGTTCATATTGAGGTCAAAAGGGTCCAAAATTAAACTTTGTTTGATTTCATCAAAAATTGAATTATTGGGGTTCTTTGATATTCCAAATCTAACCGTGTATTTAGATTTTTAATTTTAAGTCCCGTTTTTTAAATTGGTCTACATTAAGGTCCAAAGGGTCCAAAATTAAACTTAGTTTGATTTAAGCAAAAATTGAAATCTTGGGGTTCTTTGATATGCTGAATCTAAACATGTGTTTAGATTTTTGATTATGGGCCCAGTTTTCAAGTTTGTCCAAGTTGGGGTCCAAAATTAAACTTTGTTTGATTTTAACAAAAATTGAATATATGGGGTTCTTTGATATGCTGAATCTAACCATGTATTTTGATTTTGGACATTGGACCATAATAGGTAAATTAAAAAAATTCAAGTTCTTAGACCACATTCTTTCTGTGTCAGAAACCTATGCAGTGTCAAATATTTAATAACAATCTAAATTTAGATCTGTATCAAGCTTGAATGTTGTGTCCATACTTGCCCCAACTGTTCAGGGTTCGACCTCTGCGGTCGTATCAAGCTGCGCCCCAGCGAAGCATTTTATTGGTTATTATCTTGAATAGTATTAATGATAAAGATAAACAGTAAACAGCAAATATGTTCAGCAAAGTAAGATCTACAAATAAGTTTGATATGACCAAAATTGTCAATTGACCCCTTAAAGAGTTATTGCCCTTTAAGGACTATTTTACACAATTTGTTTATCATGTTTTCTAACTTTAAAAAATATTCTCCTCTGAAACCACTGCACCAATTCCAACCAAACTTAAGCTGAATGATTCTTAGGGTATCTAGAATAAAAAGTGTGTTTTATTTTTCTGTTTCGTCAAAAACATGGCCACCATGGCTAAAAATAGAACATAGGGGTAAAATGCAGTTTTTGGCTTATATCTAAAAAACCAAAGGAGTTAGAGCAAATCTGACATGGGGTGAAAGTGTTGCTTAGGTGAAGTTCTATCAGCCCTGACATTTTCAGATGAATCTAATAACCCATTGTTGGGTTGCTGCCACTAAATTGGTAATTTTAAGGAAATTTTGCAGTTTTTATACGCCCTTCAAAATTTTGACGGGACGTATTATGGTATACAAATGTCGCCTGTCCGTCTGTCCGTATGTCTGTCTGGCGTAAACATGTCGCACCGTAACTTGAGAATGACTTATCCAAATTTCATGAAACTTAAAATAGTTGTTTCTTATGATGGTCAAACGATCTGTATACTTTTTGGTGAAAATAAGATTAAAACTTTTTGAGTTACAGGACTTAGTAACTAAAACAGGTGTGTGTTTTTTTTCACATGTCGCGCAGTATCTCAAAAACAATTTATGATTATTACTTAAAACTTTACACACTTCTTAGTTATATTAATCTTAAGATCTGTATACTTTTTGGTGATGATTCAAAATTTTATTTTAGAGATATTGAGTATTTTGTTAAAAAAGGGGAGGGGTTTTTCACATGTCGCGCCGTATCTCAAAAACAGTTTATGATTATTGCTTTAAACTTTACAAACTTCTTAGTTATATTAATCTTAAGATCTGTATACTTTTTGGTGATGATTCAAAATTTTATTTTTGAGTTATTGAGTATTTTGTAAAAAAAAAGGGGGAGGGGTTTTTCACATGTCACGCTGTATCTCAAAAACGATTTATGATTATTGCTTAAAATTTTACACACTTCTTAGTTATATTAAAATTAAGATCTGTACATTTTTTGGTTTTGATTCAAAATTTTATTTTTGAGATATTGATATTTTTTTTTTAAAAAGGGGGTTTTCACATGTTGCGCCGTATCTCAAAAACGATTTATGATTATTGCTTAAAATTTTACACACTTCTTAGTTATATTAATCTAAAGATCTGTATACTTTTTGGTTTTGATTCAAAATTTTATTTTAGAGATATTGAGTTTTTTTGTAAAAAAAGGGGGTTTTTGCATGTCAGGCCGTATGTCAGAAACTATTTATGATTATTGCATAAAAAATTCACACACAAGATGACAAGCGTATCATGTGCTCATGGCACAGCTGTTTATTGGTTATTATCTTGAATAGTATTAATGATAAAGATAAACTGTAAACAGCTAATATGTTCAGCAAAGTAAGATCTACAAATAAGTTTATATGACCAAAATTGTTAATTGATCCCTTAAGGAGTATTGCCCTTTGAGAACAATTTTACACAATTTGTTTATCATGTTTTCTAACTTTAAAAAATCTTCTCCTCTGAAATTACTGAAACAATTCCAACCAAACTTAAGCTTAATGATCCTTAGGGTTTCTAAAATAAAGATTGTGTTCTATTTTCTGTTTTGTCAAAAAACATGGCCGCCATGGCTAAAATTAGAACATAGGGGTAAAATGCAGTTTTTTGGCTAATATATCTCTAACACTTAAGCAATTCGAGCATATCTGATGAGAGGTTAAAATGTTCATTAGGCCAAGTTTTATCAGCCATGAAATTTTCAGACGAATCTAACTGTCCATTGTTGGGTTGCTGCCACTAAATTGGTAATTTTAAGGAATTTTGCAGTTTTTGGTTATTATCTTGAATATTATTAATGATAAAGATAAACTGTGAACAGCAAAAATGTTCAGCAAAGTAAGATCTACAAATAAGTTAACATGACCAAAATTGTCAAATGTGTCCTTAAGGAGTTATTGCCCTTTAAAATAAATTTTTCACAATTTGTTCATTTAGTTTGCTTACTTTTAAAAATCTTTTCCTTTGAAACTGCTGAATCAATTTCAGCCAAACTTGGGCTGAATGAGTTTCAAAGTATCTAGTATAAATTTTGTATTTTATTTTCTTGTACGTCAAGAAACATAGCCACTATGGCTAAAATGGAACATAGGGGTAAAATGTATTTCTTTGCTTTTGAAGAAAATATGACAGATTCAAAGAACATCTCAATGGAATTTTTAAGCCACTCATTAATATATATAAAAAGCAAAAATAATCATTGATGAAAGATTTAAGCAAAAAATTACAGGTGAGTGATTCAGGCTCTTGAGAGCCTCTTGTTTGTTTCTTTGTCCTTAGTAAAAAATAGCAATTAACCACTAGTGCTAAAAAGCATAAAAATCCTGAATTTGTCTGTCAATGGTAACAAATAAATCTGAAATATAGTTGCTGCCAAGCAATAACTGTAAACTTTGTTATTGGAGAAAAACAGTTACCTTTCAGGACTTATCCTTAAATTTTAGGTTGGAACTTATTTTTGGTTGGTCAGATAAATGGTACCAGAGGATAGGTTACAATAGTGACGAGTTGCCCTATAAATCTCCAAATTTGCATTAATCTATCGAGATTACACACACATCTGTTTTGAATATTTCCGTAACATTTCTGTAACATTTCATTTTTTACACTTTTTATTTTGTTGTTAATATTAAGTGAAATTCAAATGAAATTTTGTATCTGGTTTTTGTCGAGCCTGCAACTTTTGTCCCAGAAAGCTGGACATAGGGATAGTGATCCGGTGGCGGCGTTAGCTAACTTCTTAAAAGCTTTATATTTTAGAAGGTGGAAGACCTGGATGCTTCATACTTTGTATATAGATGCCTTATGTGACGAAGTTTCCGTCTGTCACATGTCCATTGTCCTTGACCTCATTTTCATGGTTCAGTGACTACTTGGAAAACAAGTTGTGATTTTTGTAATGTTAATTTCTCTCTTATTATGAGTAATAGAATAACTATATTTGGTATGTGAGTACCTATCAAGGTCCTCATGCCCGTCAGACAGTTTTCACTTGACCTCAACCTCATTTCATGGATCAGTGAACAAGGTTAAGTTTTGGTGGTCAAGTCCATATCTCAGATACTATAAGCAATAGGTCTAGTATATTTGGTGTATGGAAGGATTGTAAGGTGTACATGTCCAACTGGCAGGTGTCATCTAACCTTGACCTCATTTTCATGGTTCTGTGGTTATAGTTAAGTTTTTTTGTTTTGGTCCGTTTTTCTTATTCTTTATGCAATAGGTCTACTATATTTGGTGCATGGAATGATTGTAAGGTGTACATTTCCAACTGGCAGGTGTCATCTGACTTTGACCTCATTTTCATGGTTCAGTGGTCAAAGTTAAGTTTTTGAGTTTTGGTCTTTTTTCTTATACTATATGCAATAAGTCAACTATATTTTTTTAGGTTTTATTTGATTTCATAGCATAGCTTCCATTGTAGATGCAAGTAGCATTGCCGACATCAAAAGACTTTGGTATTAAAGGAGGAGCCAACAGAGTATATACTAGATGTGTTTGTCCTGGAGAGACCCGTACCATCAAATACCATGTAATACCATACACCCTCGGCAAGATTAAAGTACTGGCCACTGTAAGTAAAGTAGATATTTCCCAACCAAAATCAGTGCCATCAAATATGATGTAATACTATGCTCCTATAGCAATACTATATTTAATAACAGTCAATCAAAGATAACAGTATTGGATCTAACTGTGTCGACTATACTTTGTATTCCTCATTTACAGTATTGGATCTAACTGTGTTGACTTTGTATTCCTTATTTAAGCAGAGTCTAACCCAGATGATCAAATTTGACCTAACAATACTTTGTATTCCTTATTTAAGCTGAGTCTATCTTAGATGATAAAATTTGACCTAGCAATACCTTGTGTTCTTTATTAGGGCCCTGCCGAATGGCAGAAGCCCTATAGTGATCAGTCTGTCAGTCCGTCCGTAACAAATTGTGTCCGCTCTATATTTAGAGAACCATTATGATTTCAAAGTTTATACTTGACATGTATATTAACCAACACCAGAGGGTGTGTCATAATGTATGTACAACTTCCTAGGTCAAAGGTCAAGGTCAAAAACTTTGGTTTTAGTTGACAACCCCATGTCCTATGGTAAAGATCATGTCCGCTCTATATCTTGAGAACCGTTATGATTTCAAAGTTTATACTTGATATGTATATAAACCAACACCAGAGGGTGTGTCATAATTTATGTACAACTTCCTAGGTCAAAGGTCAAGGTCAAAAACTTTGGTTTCAGTTGACAACCCCATGTCCAATGAAAAAGATACTAATTTTTTACCACACATTATTCACAGCGTTGCCAACAGAGATGGCTCCCATCTCAATGATATCTAGTTTAAGCTGAATCTATCTATCCCAGATGATAAAATTGGACTTAACAATACTTTGTACTCTTTATTTAAGCTGAGTCTATCTCAGATGATCAAATTGGACCTAACAATACTTTGTATTCCTTATTTAAACTGGGTTTATCTCAATACTTTGTATTATATATTTAGGCTGAGTCTATCCCAGATGATGGTACATGTGGAAACAATTCAGTCAGTGTAGATGGTACTGGAGCAAATGATGCTGTACAAAGAGAATTATTGATAGAAGTAAGTGTATAAGAAGTAAATTATTAGAGTTGTCCCACTTTGATTGGTTGTTCTGATTGGCAGAAAATTACTCCTGTTTGATTGTATTTACATTCTTGTATGTGAATTTATTTTACCTCCAATACACTACTAGGAATATCATTGGTTGAAAGGGAACATGTGGAGACCCTGTATATTTAATATGGGGTTGGTGGGCAGGCAGCTGCCAAACAGTGTCTGTTCATTAACATGAAAACGCTTTGGCGAAATTTTTTTAAAATTTAGATATGTTGTTTCCTGTGACTAAATGAAGGTCAAGTTCAATTTTTATTTTTATTTTAATACACTGTTAATAGTGGTGTTACGTCCCTTCTAAAAACAACACAGTGTTGAGGAAAAATCTGAAATGTTTCTCCCTGATAACATGAACAAATTGAAAATAAATGTAGAAAACACATTAAAAGCTAACAAGTTGTTATTGTTGGCATTTGTTTTTATATACACTAATGGAAGTAGGTTCTATATATGAAGACTTGATCACTTTGATAGGCCACTTGTCTAAATGCCACATGTTAAGATAAATTTGTTACACAGTGTGCTAGTGACCTAATACGCTCTCACCCATATAGAATTTACTGACTCAATATATATCATATTAGGTTACTAGCACACTGTGTAAATAATAATACTTTGATGAATGACTATTTTCTTGTATAATAACTAACATTGAGCAGATATTTGTGATCTATTTAAAATCAGTAAAACATAAAACTACGGTAGTTAAAATTCAGCTATAACAGTACGGTATGCCAAATGTGTTTTTTACTACCTCAATGATCACATGGTAGTAATATGCTTAATATAAAAATAAGAAGATGTATTGATTGCCAATGAAACAACTATCCAAGGTTAAATGGTGTGGATGTAAGCAGCTGTATGTCACCATATTGCTTTCAGCATTGAGCTAAACCTATACCTTATAGTTAGCTATAAAAAGCCCTTACTTGACAAAATGTAAAACAAAGAAGGAAGAAACATAAAAAAAAAATTTACTGACAGCATCCAAATATAACCATGGAATTACAGGCTCCTACAGGGTTAAATAGTGGCCAGTGAAACATCAAAGACTTGAAATTTGTATTTTCTGCTTGACTGCCAAGCATGCAGCATTTAGGAATAAGATAAGAGTCGGGTCAGCTTAGAGTCACAATAATGTTTTTGCATAGGTTTAGATGTCTGCAGTTAGACTGTAGCCTCATGAACTCATTTTGGTTATTTGGAAGGTGAAGCAGGTGAGGTTTTATTCAATAAAAGAGATTTAAAATACTCTTAAAGGTGAACTATCTTGCTTCTGTGAAAAATGCTGAACAATGAAAATCTTGTGTCAAACCTGATCTGAATGCACACTTTGGGGATTCCAAGACAACTCAGTGTATTTGTTTAGAAAGTCGTCAATAACCAGGGGTTCAAATTTACTATAAATAATAAAAGGTCCAGGACCATTTGAAATTTTAAGTGAAGGGTCCTCCATCAGAAACCAATGGTCGGCATCAAGCATCAGTGTAAAGAATGGTAGGTCCTTGACTTTTGTAATTAGTCCCCTACCGACGAAGTCAAAGGGGACTTTAGGTTTGCACTCTGTCTGTCTGTCTGTCTGTCTGTCTGTCCGCATGTCTGTCCATCTATCAGTCCGGCAAATCAGTTTTCCAGACTTTTTTTCTTCTTGCTTGAAGATATTGAGTTGATATTTGGTTTATTGATTTATCATGACAAGTTACAGGTCAAGTTCAATTTTCACGATTTTAGCTTCTCTCTTTGTTCAGTTAAAACCCTTTCCCTAGAATTAAATTTTTGATTATTGATTAGTAGATTTCTGTTCAAAGGGAAATAACTAATTTTTTAAAAGACAAAATGACATTTTGGATTTTTTTTCTTTTCTTTGGTAAATTGTTTGAAGAATTTAGTGGTAGGTTTGTTTGTCATTCTTGAAGATATTGATTTGATAATTAGTATATAGTTTTATCATGACAAGTTACAGATCAAGTTGGAATTTTATTCCAGTCGGATAATTTGTGCAGAGTTATGGTCTTTGGACATAGAAAATTCACTTAAATAATCAGTTTTCAACAATTTTTTTCATCATGCTTGAAGATTTTGACTTGATTTTTTTATGTAGTTTACACCATGACAAGTTATAGATCTAGTTAGAATTTCATTCCATTACAATGAATTTGTAACCGGTAGGGGACTATGTATTGACATGCAATACTCACAGAATGCTTGTTTAAAAATGAAAAGTCATCTCCTCGGACTCACACTATTGAACCCTTGATAACAGGTTTGACTATCTTACTGCCAGATAATTGAATTATACATGGCATAATGGACAATATTTCAGGAGGTTTCAGAGTAAAAACATTACCCAAATTTCTCTATATTTATTAGTCCTCTTTTAAAAGATACTGGATCTTATTCTGAGCTCTCACATTTTAAAAAGTTTTATGTTTACTTTTTAGGCAGAAGGAATAGAGAAAGAGTACACTGCTACATCATATATCTGTCCTGAAGGTAAGAAAAAACATTTTTATTGGGTAGATGTAAAGAATAGGGAAGGATTGTTTTATCTACATAAGTAAAAAAGGGGGAGTTTTTATATACAAACAGGGGAAAAGACCGGTACATCATATACTACCAAAAAAAGATAGACAGATGCCAATTATATAAATATATTAATCACGAAAAAGGGGATAAAATGGTGTAACTTGAATGTGGCTATAAATTCTTTAGTAATTCTTAAAGCCTATTATCATAATGAAAATCAAGTATAAGGGGTAAAAAAACTACTGCAAAGAACTAAATGTACAAGAAGGAGAACATGAAACTAGTTAATGTTGACTAATTCCTGCTTGGATTTGAAAAAATATCTGAGTTGGAGTTATTCAGGTTCGTACTTATATCTCCTTAGCTATTTGAACTCATCAATAATGATTTACCAAAACTGCTGATTGCAAAGACAAGTTTAAACACTTGATCATACATTTGTGATAGTTTAACTGGAGAGCAGGATTTTTATTAGAAAATCATGTTGTCTCCTCTTGAACTTGAAACCGGGACCTCTGTGTTACAAGTCAGCACCCATTACCGACTGAGCTAAAGAAGTACTTCCCTAGCTCAACTGCTTTCATACCGCTGGCTAATTACCTACTATGCAAGGGAAGCAATCTTGTCACACTTCTCCGACCTCAAGATTCATCATACCATTATGACTCTCACAACACATACCCTGACTAGAAATCCTCTCAAACCACTGTAGGCTTTTTAGTTAGGTACCAAATGTAATCATAGAGCATGATTATTATTAGAAAATCCCTTCGTCTCCTCTGGAACTTGAACCAGGGACCTCTATGTTACAAGTCGGCACTCTAACTGACTTTGCTAAATAAGTATTTCCCTAGCTCAATGGCATACAGCTGGCTAGTTATCTACTATTCAAGGGAAGCAATCCTGTTTCACTAGTTCTATCATAGTATGAATTATCTTAGTTGTTATCAAGCACAGATAAACATGACCTTATTTCTTTGGAAATTTTGGAAGCTAAAAGCATTCCAATTGTTGAATGCTTTTGCATGTAGTGTTTCAGTGCAAAATGGATATATATATTTATTTATTTCTGTTCCAGAAAATATATTATATATACATTTTACACTGGTTAACAGATATATTTTCTTATGTTATTTTAAACAGGAGCTGAAGTTACAGAATCAATGTTACTGCCACTGCCATCTACTGACCTGGTGGAGGATTCAGCTAGAGGATACATTAATATCATTGGTAATACAATGTTATTCTGTGTTAAACCTGAACTTATTGATTGATAGAACTAAAATAAGATCAATGATTGTAATTGGAAAAGTAACCACTAACCCTTATTCCTTTCACTTGTATTCATCTGCAAACTTTTCATGATTTAATTCTAAAAAAAGGATATAACTTTCTTTTTTTCTCTTTTGTATGGAGGTTTTACACTCAAATAATACAGGATTCCCCAAATATGAGTTGTCACAATACATGTATATATGTTATTGTTTTTTTTAAGTATTTTCATCTTAGTTACCTTTTATTTCTAATTGGGAAATAATGTAAATTACTAGATTTTGGAATATTTAGATATTTTCTGGCTTTTATGGAAACATGTTATGTAGCATAAGATTATCAGTCCTTACACATACATTTGGTTTATGATTGGACTTCTGAGGTGAATTAGATTATAGAAAAATAATTGGTTGCTGAAATTTTCTATAAATGCATACAAAAATTACCCATCAAAACTTACTTGACAAAACCTGGTAATTATCAACCTTTTATATAGATTTTATAATTTTTTTAATCATAAATATTCATATGTGTTACAGGTGATATTATGGGACCAGCTTTATCCAATCTGAAAGATCTACTACAAATGCCTTATGGATGTGGAGAGCAAAACATGGCTTCTTTCTCACCTAATATCTTTGCTTTACAATACCTGGGTAATACCAACCAGCTTTTACCAAAAATAGAAGACGAAGCCAAAGGATACATGAGAATAGGTAAAATAATTTTCTGAAGAAGGATGACATCTTAAATTATTTCTAAAGTTAAAAGAGGTTAAGCCAAGGGATATATGAACTTCAAAATAGAAAAATAAGATTATTCTCTGATATGGTAAAAAGGCAAAAGAGAACCAGTAACAATTTGAAGTTAGCCTTAACATAAAAAGTATTACTTTTAGTAGTTCCATGAAAAATGGAAGATACCATTAAAATGTAACATTGTGATTAGTGTGTTTAGAGCACAGGTGTCTTTTTGAGGGTTTGCTTACAATTTTACAGTTCCTGTTTTGATTTATCTTCAGAAAGTTTGAGAAATTGCATTTGACAAATAAAAAAAATAACTTTGACAGCAGAATTTCTTCTTCAATTTCTTAGTCTGTGAGCACAGTTTTGATTGTTTTAGTTAGAATTTTTCTAAATATAGCAATGAAATTAAATTACAAAATAAAAATGTTTTATGACCATTAATGATATAGATTTATCATTTTTACATAGGATATCAAAGACAGTTGAAATATCGTCATGACGATGGCTCTTACAGTGCTTTTGGTGGTACAGGATCAGGCAGTATATGGTTGACGTCCTTTGTTGTTAAATGTTTGGGACAGTCACGACCTTACATCAGTATAGATGCTGATGATTTGAATAAGAGTATCACCTGGTTTAGACGCCAGCAGTTAGAAAATGGCTGTTTCCCTAAGATTGGTTACACTCATAGTTATTACTTGAAGGGAGGATTTTCTGACAGGAGTAATGAAGCATCTTTGACTGCTTTTGTACTTATAGCTATGCTGGAAGCTGGAATTCCTTCATCAGTAAGTAGAACTTCTATGTTCTCTCCTTATAATCGTGTCTCCTGACAGTGTATGACTATAAAGATTGATGGATCCCTCAAAAAGATGGGCTTTGTGTTGATCATTGATTTGTGATCAATTTTAGTTAGGTTATGAGTTTATTATCACTATTTGAATTAAATAACAAGAGTTGATATCAATCGATATCCAATTCTCACGAGTTGTTGAACCTATTTCTCTTATGGTCAACACTCTAATTGTGTTAAATGAAAAATTCCGCAAATCCTTGATCAAGTCTTTTGCAAATACCAGTATGACATATGTTCAAACTGACCCTGGGTTCAAATTTCAGGGGGTTCAATTTTCCATATGACACCAGCATCAAACTTTTACATCAGACATTTAAATTTTCAAACTTTTTGTACGCTTCAGAATGTAATAAAATTTGACAAAATGAAGATTTTCAGGTGAAAAGTGTGAGTGTTTTGTATTTAATTGAAGAAATCACATATGTCCATTGCCATGGACGAAATGTACATCTTCTTAACCTTTCAAAGTCATCAATTACATAACGAATAGCGAATGGAAATGTCATAACATCGTCTCATGATGTTGGATAAGCCAATCAAATAAACACAGTTTTTGTATCACTTTTTGGTATTACACTCCATGCAGTGTGATATGAGAAATATCTTTTATGCATGAAAAAGATAACAGGCCACAACCATAACAGTAGTTTTATATAACAATTAATGTCTTAAGGTTTTTAGGGGTAAAGATGGCTTAAAAAAAAAGGTTCAAGTGTTAACTACAATTATAGACAAAGGAAGATAACTCTTATTAAAAGTATTTCCGAAAATTGTTCCATTGGATTTTAAGTAAAAGCAATATTTAATCTTCAGTGCTCACAAGCACTTGGATTTTTGTGCAGTTGGATCTCATTGATGTTAATTCTGCATAGCTGTTTATTTAAATGAAGGTTGGTATGGAAAATGTATTTTGTAGGATCCATCAGTAATTAAGGCAGTAAGATGTTTAGATGTACAGGATATACCAGATACTTATACTATGGCCATAATGGCCTATGCTTATACATTATATGACTTGAGACATCTTAGGAGACAACAGGTCATTAAAATGTTGGATGAGAGAGCCACAGTAAAAGGTAAATACAACATGTATCTCTTATTTTTATATACCTGTCCTGTCAAACACTGTTGTTCCACTGTTTGTTCATCTGACTGGTGTTGACATTTCATGCCCTTAAGTATACCTTTTTAAAGTAGTTTACTTTCAACTAGTCTTATTATAATTGTAGGTGGAGGATGTATAATTCTTGACCCATTTGTCAGTTGGTCTGTCTGCACATCAGTCAGTCTGTCAATCATTTTCATTCGAGATGCTAAATAAAATATTTTATACCAGATTGTAACCACACTTGGATATTTGGTCACATATTATGAGAGGAATTTTCCTATTGATTTTGAGTTGATTTCCTCCAAGGTCAATGTCAAAGTTGCTATAAATAGCTTGAAATTTATGCAGAAGTCATTTCCAGATGCTAAAGCAAATACTGGATAATGAATTGCAACCATACTTGTTTATATGGTCACATATAATAAGATGAAAATTCCTATTGATTTTGAAGTCATTATCCAAGGTCAAGGTCAAAGTTACTAAAACTAAACTGAAAATTAAGCAGGAAAGTTGTTTCTAGATTATAAATCAAATACTACATAAGGGATTGCAACTGTACTTGGATATATAGTCACATATATGAAGAGGAAGATCCCTTTTGATTTTAAGGTCACTACATCCAAGATCAAGGTCTTTTACTTAAAATAGACTGAAATTTATGCCGAAAAGTGGTATCCATATATGTTTAATGCAAATGTCTACAATAAAAAACATAGTTTAACATAGAAAAATATGTGTAAACTAAACAAACGGTTAAGTTATCTAACAATGTCTAATATAATCAGATAAAAAGATTGATAATTAAGTTTGTCTGATTGCAGTATGTCAGTGTTGTGTTCTGTATCCAAGCTATATTTGTGCAGCTGATGCAACTAACTAAATAACTGATCATTTCTAACTGTTTAATTAGGCTTTTTATCAGACCTTTGTGGTCGTATAAAATGCCTTATTTAATTATTATTTGGTTTCTAGACAATAACTTTAGAATCAGTGTATGGATCGCTTTGAAATTGTACCACAAGGTTCCATTCCACAAAAGGAAGGTTTAGGAATTAGGGTTTAATTTACAATTTAGCATGTTGTATGCACTCCTATTTATTGTTGAAACGTCTCGATGTTTTTATTTTTGATGTCATTGTGTATGTCATAACAAGAGTTCAATGTTCAAAAATGAAGAACTTTTTGTGAAACCTATCCTATAACAATGTTTGCAACAATAAAAATGATCACAAAAATTTCTAAATTTACAGTATGACAAACATGAATGCACAAATGTAAAAACTATTAAAAGTGGTAAACCTTATTCAAGATTGTTTGACAATATTACAGATGGTATGAAATACTGGAGCCGTACAGAGAAGAAGGAAGATGCTAAAAAGAAACAGAAATGGTACTATACAGCTGTGTCAGCAGAGGTTGAAATGACAGCATATGCCCTACTGGCTCATGTCACTGGAGAACAACAGAATGCTGCTACTAATGCCAGACCTATGGTCATGTGGTTAACAAAACAAAGGAATCCAAGAGGGGGATTCTCCTCAACACAGGTACCTTAATGACAGCATTAAGCCAATGGTTATGCTTTTATTCCACAAGGAGTGTTTTGCTATACAAAAAAATAATAGTATGATTAATCTGTAAAGGCCAGAGGTTATTTGGCTCACAGTGGAACCACATGTATGCTTTTTACATGAAAGAGATATATAACAGATATTCATTACAAGGAATAAAAATATCCTTATTAAGATTATTCAAGAACATCATGTTGCATATGTCAAAATCATATTATTCCTTTGATTTTTTTGAAAGCTACACACCGACATTACTGTTTATTGTCATACTGCAAATACACAAAATGTAAATATTCCTCAAGTTAGACTTCAGGATCTAGCTTTTTTCATTTATCAGTTTTTGCATGTATCCTGTCAAACTTTTAATGATATATAAAGGGATATAATTTTTTTGAAAGCGAAGATAATATTTGTGCTGCTGAAGCTGTGATGTAGCCATTCAAACTACTTTAAAAATGGTATAATCTCAGTCCAATTTAGTGCTTGACATATAATATAGAAATCTGTCTCTTGTTATTAAAAAGACTGTTAATTGACCTCTAGATGTTTCTGTGTTTTTATGCCCCACCTACGATAGTAGAGTGGCATAATGTTTTTCGGTGCGTACGTCCTGTCGGTTGTTCGTCCGTCTGTCCCGCTTCAGGTTAGAGTTTTTAGTCTAGGTAGTTTTTGATGAAGTTGAAGTCCAATCAACTTGAACCTTAGTACACATGTTCCCTATGATATGATCTTTCTAATTTTAATGCCAAATTAGAGTTTTGATCCCAATTTCACAGTCCACTGAACATAGAAAATGATAGTGCGAGTGGGGCATCCGTTTACTATGGACACATTCTTGTTGTCTATGTGTTGCAGTCTGATTGACATATACCCCTAATATTATTTTATTGATATGTATTGATTAGATATTAAAATGTTTCCAATTTTGTTTTGGCAGGACACTATTGTAGCATTACAGGCTTTGGCTAGATATGCCACATTAGTATACCAAGGTGGTGTAAATGTTTCCATAGAAATGATGGAGAAAAACAAGAAAAACCCTGACAGAACTACAACATTTAGTATTGATGATGACAACACACTAGTCCTGCAATCAGAACGAATCAGTATCCTACCAAGTACTCTCGAGGCAAAAGTATCTGGAGTTGGATGTGCTATGGTTCAGGTAGGTCAAAAGGTCAAAGTGCAATTGATCGGTCTTGTTACTTCATTTGTACTGCTCTTCATTGGGTGATCCAATAATATGACTGGGAATAATTCATCTTAAAATTATAAAATCGAATTCTGATTTCTACATCCCTTGATGGAAAAGGCTTTTTCTGTATATCAGGACATTTTCACCATGTTCACAGTAGACATTTTACCACAAATTTAACCCTTCACAATGATTTCACTGTGCTTGAGATGCATTGTACCAGTCTTTGAAACTTGAACAATCAACATGACGAATTTTTAACTGCTCCTAAGTCTCAAACAGGGAACAAAACCTAACGTGAAAATAACCTGTTATATGATTGCATGTCTTTTTCTAAGTTAATTTGATGTTGTACAGCTGTTATTACTTCAAACTATGGTAGGGTTTTAGTTCGGCACCAATTGTAATTTGGATGCATGTTTTGTCTCCCGAAATTACACACTGTACCAGTGTATTTACTTTTGAAAGCCTGAAAGCACTTTATAGAATACAGAAAACCCAGTTTGCTGTCAGTTTGACAGCTCATTCCTTGTTTTTTTACTGTCTGCCTAGAATGTTACTTTTATTTTGAAAGAGAAAAAATACAGCCGATTTGAATTTTCATTATTGTACCTCTACTATAGGCTAACGTGAAGTACAATGTATATGAGACTCCTACCAGTCCGACCTTTGACATGAAGGTCAGTGTGTACAGAGCTAAAGACCACGCCAACCAATGTAGTAGAAGAACACTCAGTATCTGTGTTAAGTAAGTTAATGGAATCTAAAGAACTTTGTGCACTTAAAATAAGCCGAAGATCACCATGAAAACAAATGCAAAACATGTGTTTAACATTAATTGGAAGTTGAAAAAGTATGTAAATTGCACATTAATTCAGTGTGAGTGTGTGGAAGTCCTATATTAAAAAGATATGACTTTGAAAGTAAAATAGTACTGTACTTAAGTTAAAGACTGTTTGATCTTTTAAACACTTTAAAATTTGAAGGACTTATACAAAGCATCAGCAGCTGTCTGAAACACTAAATCTGAACAAATCATAAGTTTCTGACTTTATACACATTATGTAATGCTGCAAGAAGAAATAGGAAATCTTTAATGCAACATTATATTTTGATATTTACTAGTAAATAATAGATTTTCTTTAATAATTCAAGTCGAATAATAATATCCATTAAGTAGATAACTGAAGAATTTGAAAAGAAATTAAGGGACCCTCTCCTTTGTCATGCCTTAATTCAGTTCCTATTTACAGGTCCATGTGGTGTGGATGACATAATTTCCATGTATTTGCATATTTTCTTTGTGTTTCTGTATTTCCAGGTGCAGGGAGTAACAGTAACATAATTTTGCTATATTTACATACATGTAGGCCCAGGCTTTGGTGCTGTCTGTAACAATTTTTTACAATTATTACAAATTTCCTGTTGAACAGGTCCTGATTGTGTCACTGGTTTTACTGTATTTGAATGCTGTGGTATAGTCTGTAACATGATTTTGCAGTATTTTTCCAGGATCTGGTGATGTCCTTGACATTTTACCTTTTTCTTTATTTCCATACAAAATTTTGGATGTAATTACATATTTCCAGTCAATGGTTATTTCTGTGACTTAATTTTTCTGTATTTATATATAATTAGACCTTGATGATGTTTGTAACCTAATTTTACTGTAATTACAGATTTACGGGACCTGGTGTTGTCAGTAATATGGCTATAGTTTGTAACCTTATTTTACTGTGACAGGACCTGGTGGTGTCAGTAATATGGCTATAGTTTGTAACCTTATTTTACTGTAATTACAGATTTACAGGACCTGGTGGTGTCAGTAATATGGCTATAGTTTGTAACCTTATTTTACTATAATTACAGATTTACAGGACCTGGTGGTGTCAGTAATATGGCTATAGTTAACGTTTGTAACCTTATTTTACTGTATTTACAGATTTACAGGACCTGGTGGTGTCAGTAATATGGCTATAGTTGATGTGAAAATGGTCACTGGTTGGGTCCCAGTTAAAGATTCTCTGAAAAAGGTAGGTTCTGAGTAGTGGAAAAAGCCTAACCATATATATAACAAAAATATCCTTATCTAAATGTGACCTATCATTATTGTTATCTACTTCACAAAAACAAAGATACTGATACAAAATATGACATATATGTTTTCAGGCTTTGTTTGTTACAGTTAATATGCCATATATAAGTCTTTGAATGTTCATTGAAAGACAAATGAATGGTATCTATAATACTAAAATAACGAGGTCCAATTTGTTAGCCGGCATGACGTAAAAACGATGATTCAAAGAATTCAAAGTTATACATAATTAATATAGGACAATGGTGTTGTTTAAAAATTACACCATTCCAGACCCTTTTGTTTTCCACATAATTAATATTACCAATAATTAACAAGTTCCGGGTCAAATCCAATACCGATACCATTAGTATATGTCACATATAGTTTCCAGTTGTATTTATGTATGTATGTTCTGTATCTCCATCCTTAAATAGGAGCACCGCCATGGGTTATGGTGTAAAGGAGGACATTTAACACACTGTATCAGTACAATTCAAAATGTGAGCATTTGCTTACCCAGATTTCAAGCCTGACCTTGACGGGTCTTACCAACAGAAATTACAGAAATTTATGTTAATCTTCCCCAAAAACAGTTTATTCTGTAGTAAGAAAACCAGGATGGGTTCAAACAGAAACATTTTGATATCAGAGAAAATTATGCACATTTAAATCAGCATGAATTTATCACATGACGATACAAATACTAAAAAACAGGCTAAAATAAGGCTTAGGTACGGAACCACGATGTCTCGGGTGTGTTCTTGTAATTATAAAATAAATCATGTATGTGAAATTTTTTAAAATTAAATGATCTTTTACCTTATGAAATAATTACCAGAAAATATCAAAAGATTAATTTTGTATTTTTTGTTGTATAGCTAATTGTGGAGAAAAATGACCCAACTTACATAGGTGTAGAGAAATATGAAGTGGATGGTAGTTATGTACACATATACTTTGATCAGGTAATATATGCATAAATATGAAGTGGATGGTAGTTATGTACACATATACTTTGATCAGTAATACATGTATAACTATGAAGTGGATGGTAGTTATGTACACATATACTTTGATCAGTAATACATGTATAAATATGAAGTGGATGGTAGTTATGTACACATATACTTTGATCAGTAATACATGTATGAATATGAAGTGGATGGTAGTTATGTACACATATACTTTGATCAGTAATACATGTATAAATATGAAGTGGATGGTAGTTATGTACACATATACTTTGATCAGTAATACATGTATAAATATGAAGTGGATGGTAGTTATGTACACATATACTTTGATCAGGTAATACATGTATGAATATGAAGTGGATGGTAGTTATGTACACATATACTTTGATCAGGTAATACATGTATAAATATGAAGTGGATGGTAGTTATGTACACATATACTTTGATCAGGTAATATATGTATAAATATGAAGTGGATGGTAGTTATGTACACATATACTTTGATCAGGTAATATATGTATAAATATGAAGTGGATGGTAGTTATGTACACATATACTTTGATCAGTAATACATGTATAAATATGAAGTGGATGGTAGTTATGTACACATATACTTTGATCAGTAATGCATGTATGAATATGAAGTGGATGGTAGTTGTGTACACATATACTTTGATCAGGTAATATATGTATAAATGGGAACTATTGATTCTAATATGACGTCCTTATTTCACTTTTCACAAAGCGATGTTCTAATTAGCACAAAATATATTTGACACATGCACACAAACTTACTGTTTACATTCTTGTTATTTTCATTTTGTATACTAATAAAATATATACTTTTTGGCTGCTTACATAAAATTTATTATATATCGTTATTCAAACAACATATTTGTTTTTAAGCGTATTAAATATGAAAATGTAATGTACATACTTCATGGGGAGGAAACGGAACCAGCCAAACATTTGTAAGGTATTTTTGTACCCTTCAACATGTAAAAATACTGTTTTTGTCCTATTAGAATTGAAATAATTCCTGAATGTCATGCTCTATGCTCATAACGCTATAACACTCAGTGTAAAATATCAACAAATATAATGCCTACCCATGTTTAAATGAGCAAAGAGCATGATATGAAGCAATTAATTCTTAATTTTGACCAGATAGTGGGTTGGGCTCATTGAGAAGGAATTTACATTCCTATAAATCAATTATCTATAAAGACATAATTTGCCCTAAAGAGGAAAGTAGGTAAAAAGCTTGGGTTTCAGAAAGTCCGGAAAAAAAATCATAAGTTTATTATACCCCCGCTTTAAAAAAGTGGGGGTATACTGTTTTACCTCTATCTGTCCGTCCATCCGTCAGTCCGTCAGTCCATCCTTCCGTCCCATGAATATTTTTCAAAAGTGGGGGTATACTGTTTTACCTCTGTCTGTCCGTCCATCCGTCAGTCCATCCTTCCGTCCCATGAATATTTTTCGTCGCATCTTTCTCAGGAACTACATTACAAGGATTTCTGAAATTTGGTTTCAGGGTTTATATGAGAGCTATACCGTGTGATGCGTTTTCAGATTCATCACTCAACAACTTCCTGTTTACAGAACACTTGTATCATTTTTCACATGATAGCCAAGTTGAAAATTTTCGTCACATTTTTCTCAGGAACTACAATACAAGGATTTCTGAAATTTGGTTTCAGGGTTTATATGAGTCAGCTATACTGTGTGATGCGTTTTCAGATTCATCACTCAACAACTTCCTGTTTACCGAACACTTGTATCATTTTACAGGTAGCACGGTAGTATTTGCATTCCAGAATTTAGGTTGCTCTTTTGTGTACCCTACTTAAGTCAATGTATCTGAACATTATGATTGGACAAACAATACAGTATCTACTGAACATACTTTCCCAAACTGAGGGATGAATCAGGTGTAGATAAATATGAAATAATTTTACATACAGATGAAAATGAATTTTTGAGAATTTTGTATTCACTGCACGATAAAAGACCTAAAAGCACTAGTGGCCTTAGGTTCTTAAAGATAGCAAAAAAAGTAAACGGTCATGATACATATGCAAATCCATTTCTGAATAGTAAAATGAAAGTACTTCAGTTAACTGTGAATGTAGAATTTTTGGCAGTGTTAGAAAGTGGTGAAAATTCGAAAAAGGCTATCATTATCCCTTATGGGCCAGGAAATACTACCGTGCCACCTTAAGGGGGATATACATGTTTACACTAAATCAATGAAGGATTTTTTTTTACCTATGCAATTTGTAAGTTTATCAATAAAAAGTTGATTAAGGGCAACTATGATAAAAACAGCCCTTAAATTTTACCCCTGGGAGTGAAAATTGCTGATTCAGCAAATTTTGCCTGATCTGTGGGTAATAAAGTAAAAATTTACCTAGAAAGTAGAACTTCATTATTTTTATGTAACTTGCAATACATTTTTAATTATAAATGCTCGCTTTAACTTTTCGCAGTGTCTGACACATGTGCAACCACTGGAATTTGAGACACGACATATTTTATTTGCCTGTACATCCTATTATTTTCACCGAAATAAATAAATTGCATAATTTCTTATTTTTTTCCACACAAGTACAGCTTTACTAGTTTTCTTTAGGTTTAATATGTAGTTCTGTGGTAACATGATGCCAGTATGAACTTTTTTGGAACCAGCAAGTGGTTAAGGGGTCCTTACTTATTCATTTAGCCCTCATATTTGGCTGAAATAGAGATAGCAATAGGGGTTTCTTTACACTGACAAGACATTTTTTTTGACAAAGAATGTAATTATGATTGTTTATCAGCAAGATTAAATAGTTTATTCATTTTCCATGCAAATGTCATTAATTTTTTTGATTTTCTGACAATGAAAAGCACAATAAAGGTAAAATGATTATGTAAGGGGACATAATTTAACTTAATGCATACATGAGAAATAGACAAACAGTCAACTTAGAGATATATTCTAGTATATGTATTGTCAAAAAGATTTTAGAATACTAGTTAACTGCCATCTAAAGAATCTTGTTGTGTTGCCTTCATAATCTCGAAATGCTTAAAGTAATGTAAGGCATGCTGTAAAATGTGGAATGGACTTTAATATAATTTTTCATGATTTGGTTCTTAAACTGTTTCTTTCAGTCAGATTAACTATAAATAGAGTTGGCAATCCAATAATTGCTCCTGAATCACCATGTTTGACTTCTGTGTTGATTTGAAACATCATATATTTGGATTTTGTTCACTCCTTAAGTAAAAATGGTAAGATGATAAAAAAGTGAAAAGCTGCCAGCTGGGGTAGGGGTGTAATCTTTCATTTTTTAGCTCACCGGGGCCCGAAGGGCCCCATGTGAGCTTATGCCATCACTTGGCGTCCGTCGTCTGTTGTCGTAAACTATTTCAAAAATCTTCTCCTCTGAAACTACTGGGCCAAATACCTTCAAACTTTAACTAAATGTTCCTTAGGGTATCTAGTTTATAAATTGTATCCAAAGTTTTGATCCATCAACAAACATGGCCGCTATGGCTAAAAATAGAACATAGGGGTCAAATGCAGTTTTTGGCTTATATCTCAAAAACTAAAGCTTTTAGAGCAAATCTGACATGGGGTAAAATTGTTCAATTGGTCAAGATCTATCAGCTCTAAAATTTTCAGACGAATCGAACAACCCATTGTTGGGTTGCTGCCACTGAATTGGTAGTTTTAACAAAATTTTGCAGTTTTTATACGACTGCAAAAAAATTTTGTGGTCGTATATTGGTATGACGTTGGCGTCGCTGTCGTCGTCCGAAGACACATTGGTTTTCACACTCTAACTTTAGTTTAAGTGAATGGATCTCTATGAAATTTTACCATAAGGTTCAATACAACAAATGGAAGGTGGGGATTGATTTTGGGGGTTATGGTACCAACAGTTAAGGAATTAGGGGCCAAAAATAAGAAATTTTGTAACTTCCAGACATAACTTGTGTGTTAGTGTATGGATCTCTCTGACATTGTACCACAAGGTTCCATATCACAAAGGGAATGCTGGGATTGATTTTGGGGGTAATTGCCTCCAAATTTTAGGAATTAGGGGCCAAAAACAAGCATTTTTCTAGTTTCATGACAATAACTTGTGTGTAAGTGTATGGATCTCTCTGACATTGTACCACAAGGTTCCATATCACAAAGGGAATGCTGGGATTGATTTTGGGGGTAATTGCCTCCAAATTTTAGGAATTAGGGGCCAAAAAGGGGCAAAAAACAAGCATTTTTCTAGTTTCATGACAATAACTTGTGTGTAAGTGTATGGATCTTTATGAAATTGTACTACAAGGTTCCATATCACAAAGGGAAAGCTGGGTTTGAGTTTGGTGGGTAATTGCCCAAAACGTTTAGGAATAAGGGGCCAAAAAGTGGCCAAAAATAAGCATGTTTCTAGTTTCCAGACAATAACTTGTGTTCAAGTGTATGGATCTCTCTGAAATTGTACTGCAATGTACCATACCACAAAGGGAAGGCTGGGATTGAGTTTGGGGGTGATGAATCATAAGGGGGTTGTTAAAAATTTTTTGGGGGGGGATTTTCTTTTCCTTTTTTTTCTTTAAAATTTTCCATTTTAAATTGGTTATTTCTGATTTATATATAAAAGCAAATAATAATTATATGGTTTTAATAGGTAAATTAAAAAATTTTAAGTTCTTAGACCACATTCATTCTGTGTCAGAAACCTATGCTGTGTCAAATATTTAATTACAATCCAAATTCAGTGCTGTATCAAGCTTGAATGTTGTGTCCATACTTGCCCCAACTCTGCGGTCGTATCAAGCTGCGCCCCAGCAGAGCAGTTTATTTGTTATTATTTTGAATATTATTATAGATATATATAAACTGTAAGTAGCAATAATGTTAAGCAAAGTAAGATCTTCAAAAAAGTTATTATGATCATAATTGTCAATTGACCCCTTAAGGAGTTATTGCCCTTTAAAGACAATTTTACACATTTTGTTCATCAAGTTTGCTAACATTTAAAAATCTCCTCTGAAACTACTGTGCCAAGTACCTTCAAACTTTAATTAAATGTTCCTTAGGGTATCTTGTTTATAAATTGTATCCGAAGATTATATTCATCGACAAACATGGCCGCCATGGCTAAAAATAGAACATAAGGGTCAAATGCAGTTTTTGGCTTATATCTCAAAAACTAAATCTTTTAGAGCAAATGTGACATGGAGTAAAATTGTTTAATTGGTCAAGATCTATCGGCCCTGAAATTTTCAGACGAATCGAACAACCTTGTTTATAAATTGTATCCGAAGATTATATTCATCGACAAACATGGCCGCCATGGCTAAAAATAGAACATAAGGGTCAAATGCAGTTTTTGGCTTATATCTCCTCTGAAATACAGGTGAGCGATTCAGGCTCTTGAGAGCCTCTTGTTTTGGTAAGAAATAAGTGCAGACTAGTATTCTTTATTGTAATATGTTACATAGTAAGAAGGCTATGCATCATAGGTGTCATGACTGATTTCAAGTTTGAAACGTCTTGGTTAAGGTAGCACGGTAGTATTTGCATTCCAGAACTTAGGTTGCTCTTCTGTGTACCCTACTTAAGTCAATGTATCTGAACATTATGATTGGACAAACAATACAGTATTTACTGAACATACTTTCCCAAACTGAGGGATGAATCAAGTGTAGAAAAATATGAAATAATTTTACATACAGATGAAAATGAATTTTTGAGAATTTTGTATTCACTGAACGATAAAGCACTAGTGGCCTTAGGTTCTTAAAGATAGCAAAAAAAGTAAACGGTCATGATACATATTCAAATTCATTTCTGAATAGTAAAATGAAAGTACTTCAGTTAACTGTGAATGTAGAATTTTTGGCAGTGTTAGAAAGTGGTGAAAATTCTAAAAAGGCTATCATTATCCCTTATGGGCCAGGAAATACTACCGTGCCACCTACACATGATAGCCAAGTTGAAAATTTTCATCACATTTTTCTCAGGAACTACAATACAAGGATTTCTGAAATTTGGTTTCAGGGTTTATATGAGTAAGCTATACCATGTGATGCGTTTTCAGATTCATCACTCAACAACCTCCTGTTTACCTTATACTTTAAGTGGGTGGGGTATCATTAGTGAGCAGTAGCTCACAGATTCACTTGTTTGTCCAAAGTCTTTTTATGCCCCTGCCGTAGCGGAGGGGGCATTAAGTGTTACCCATGTCTGTCAGTCCCAAATACTATAAAACTTATACACAATGCATATTACCACAACACACAGATCAAATTTGAAATTGGGTGGCGTCACTTTTACCGTTCATGAGTTATGCCCCTTTATAAATAAAAATTGCTAAATCTGTCGTTTCCGTTCTCTAAATTTAGTTTGCCTCATCCAAATGTTATGAAACTTATACACAATGCGTATTACCACAAAACCCAGATCAAGTTCGAAATTTGGTAGCGTCACTTTTACTGTTCATGAGTTATGCCCCTTTATAAATGGAAAAATTGCTAAATCTGTCGTTTCCGTTCTCTAACTTTAGTTTGCCTCAACCAAATGTTATGAAACTTATACACAATGCTTATTACCACAAAACACAGATCAAGTTCAAAATTGGGTGGCGTCACTTTTACCGTTCATGAGTTATGCCCCTTTATAAATGGGAAAATTGCGAAATCTGTCGTTTCCGTTCTCTAACTTCAGTATGCCTCAACCAAATGGTATGAAACTTATGCTTATAATCACAAAACGGTCTTAATTACGTGAATCCTGCATCTGTATGTGGAAGTTGACTCATGAGTTTTTACAAGCTGGGGCATCTGTGGCCCATAGACACTTTCTCCATTTATTTTGTACTGCAAACAGAATATTATTGGGAGTGGATGGCAGGATTCCAAAAAAATTTGGTGAATGATGTTTGATTTTTTCATTGCTCTTTTGAAAATGCAAAATTGCAGTTTTTGAATGCACATTTTTGACAAACTTTAAATGTTGAGTACTAGCATAATGATAAAAATGTCATTATTATTGTCATGACCATTAAATCTAACTGTATCTCTATATTAATAATTCAGTTAGTTGAAATAGTGTGTATTTATTTTAGTTGGACAGTACAAGAAAATGTTTCTTGGTAGATGTTGAACAGAATATAGAACTATCCGCTCCTAAACCTGCACAAGTTAAAGTGTATGATTACTATGAAACAGGTTAGTCCATCTATACATATCAGCTAAAAAAGGGGGAGGATTTGTTGCAGGAGATTTTATTTATCATGACCATATGACAGGTTAAAAACTTTCTATTATGTATTATGTATTTTGAATTGTTTTGATTTTACTTTAGCAGAGTGTCTGCAGGAAAGAGTTGCATGCATAATGTCAGGATTTCTTTTTCTTGGTTCAAATTCATGTAAATACAAATCAACAAACTTTTTTGAACCAGAAAGGGTAAAGATACACAGATACTGTATTAAAAACGCCACATGTGATTATTTATTGGAAGAATAAAAAAATTAATAAAATAGTCTCCAAAATGTACACTAAAATTGAACACAAGTTATACTGAATATTCATAACACAAACAAGGTTTTCTAAATACATTTTGTCTGAAAAGAGCAACACGGTTTTTAGTATCAAAAGTTCATTAGCAAAAATGTGAAAACACACAACATTCATAAATGGGGCAAATGAGTTACGAATATCTAGTTTCAGCTTTTTCTATAAGGAGTGTTATTAAAAACTGCAATTGCTGTACTAGGATGTATATTTTGTTGTTTTAGATTTTACCTTGATAGTCAATTACAAGATAAAAACAACATGTGGAACCAAAGAAGAACTGCCATACATAAGTGCTGAACAGTATTATAATGGTATACTTGTCAATCTTCCTGTAGATGAAATCGTTCAAGTCCGAGTTCCTCCAAGATTAGGTCAGTTGCTTAAAATTTAAAAGATGTTTAATGCTGTTTACATGTACATTGGTTAATGAGTGAGTCTTTCTTTTCCTCTTTTGTTAACAATAAAAGCAAAGAACTGATATATGCCTAAAATGAATTAATGAATCAAATGTAAATGCATACTTGATCATTGATTTATGTTTTTCGGTCTGTGCATCCGTTCATCCGTCCGTCCGTTCGTCCGTCTGTCCCGCTTCAGGTTAAAGTTTTTGGTCAAGGTAGTTTTTGATGAAGTTGAAGTCCAATCAACTTGAAACTTAGTACACATGTTCCCTATGATATGATCTTTCTAATTTTAATGCCAAATTAGAGTTTTGACCCCAATTTCACGGTCCACTTAACATAGAAAATGATAGTACGAGTGGGGCATCCGTGTACTATGGACACATTCTTGTTAACATTTCAATTATCAATTTGGTCCTTATAATTGATAGAAAAACTTTAGTTAATTGAATTAAAAGCAATACAGTGGACTCCATTTAATCACATAACACTTAATGAAATTGCATAATTTGGCTATTTGCATACCATTTTTCTACACAAACCCATTTCCTATTCATTGAATCTAAATTAAAAAAAAAATGGGTATTTGCAAGGCTTAATCAGTGGCCTTTCGGATTATTGCATAGAAAAAAATTGTCATCTAAATGTGTTAAGTTAGAATCTGAATTTTTTATTACTGGAAACAGCATAAGGTTAGTACATTCTTTCAAGTCATTGTTATTGCATGCATTTTAAATTTTTTGTTTTTGTTTTATATTCCCTTTTGTTTTGTTTTAAAAAAGTTTACAGCAGTTTCTTTTGTATTTATATATATAATGCCATGATGATTTATTTTGCCACAAGGTGTACAGATAAATTTATATCCCTTCTTCATGTTCATTATGATGTGAACTTCGTACACATGTTCAATATGTATGAATACATAGTTGACACCAATTCTGGCTTTAATGATGTGAACTTTTCAAAATATATGAAAAATTAAGGTTTAACCCAGATTTCAATGTTAAAAAATGTGTGTAAAATCAGTATGTTCATAGGTTAAAGTTTAGGGTTAAGGTACTTTAGTATGAAGTCATGGTCACATCAACATGAAACTTAAAAACGAGTTTACATTGTTGGTCTTTTCTTTAAGGTCCAATAACCTTCTTGACAGCAACATGTTCTGGAGAAAGAATAAAATTGCTATAAGTTAATTAAAGATCTTCTTTAGATGTTATGATTATATTTGATTTCATGTTGTTTCAGAGGGAAGTGGACTATTTAGACCTATTTCTCAGCAGCAAGTAAGTCACTACAACCTACAAGAATTCAAAATTAAAATATGTTCTATGGATTTCGTTATTCTATTGGATTGAAGAATTATTGTATATTCCTGGTTTTTCCAAAATCTGCATACAAGCCCATTAAAGGGGGGCTCTCTGCACAGAAGAACGCGAAATAAAATTGCAATTTCACGATGAACGAACAATTAAAAATTTCTTGCACGTTGATCTTTTTACCGATTTCACGAGACACAGTGAATAACGAACATTTTTCACGGCTGCACGTGAAATAAAAATGGCAAAACACGTTGCACGAAAATAACCCTTTACCACCCTCATAGAAAATTAACACTTGTTGGAATATTTAAATTCGTGGTTTACCTTAACCCACCACAATTGGTGTTCCATGAATAATAATGAATTAACAGTATATCATATCAAAAATAAGTTTTTTTTTTAGGATAGATACACCTTTGAATATATATACAATAAGTTTGATAATAATGTTAAAATGTATATACACCTATTTAATTTTTTTTTAGATAATTCATTCTATATTATAAAATGAATGCATAAATCATTTAAAGTGATTTTATACAATAAGTTTGATAATAATGTTAAAATGTATATACACCTATTTAATTTTTTTTTAGATAATTCATTCTATATTATAAAATGAATGCATAAATCATTTAAAGTGATTTGATGCAATAATTTTGTTTTGTTGATAAATGGTTATTAAAATGCTACATTTATCTTTATAGACTTGTCCAATGTGTTACAAAAGCGTGGACACCACAAGTAAAATCTTCAAGTCAATGGTTTGTGGATCAAAGAAAAGTAAGTTTTTTGGGAATTAATATTTTTGGTGGTAATGGTAAAATTGGTTGATTCAATTGTGTTCATGACGGTGAAAGTTGCTGATTCAGTTATTTTTAGAGTTGCAGTGGGATATAAACTGATTCAGTGTTTAGAGCGCAAATTGCAAATTTGCTTTACAAAGTTTGAGTGAAATGTGCTGAAATCAATTATTCTCAAGGTTTGAGTAAAATATCCAATTTGTGTTAATTTATGGTTAAGTACGTAGCATTTGCTCATTCAATTATTTTCATGGTTTAAATAAAAGCCGAGTGGTCAATTATTGCCATGATTTGAGTAAATATCACTATTTTAAGATTTATACATTTTTTGTACCATAACATATGTATTTGGTTTAAAAATTCAGCCTGTAGTTAGTTTCACCCATGAAATCCACATATTAAGGAACAAATGCTACATTGAATATGGATGTTTTTCCTCAAAAAAACAATCCACATTTGAATAATTTTTTGAATGACCAGTAGTACAAGTGTGTAGTTTGAGTGCGACCATTTGTATACTTTGTTTTTTTTTATGCCCCCACCATAGGCAATGGGGGCTTTATTTGTTGCCCTTGACCAACCGTCCGTCCCCTTTTTGTTTCCGCACTCTAACTTTAGTTTGCCTCATACAAATTTTATGAAACTTGTTCACAATGCTAAGAACCACAACACACAGACAGTTCGAATTTGGGTTGTGAGCCATTCACCGCTCTAGAGTTATGTCCCTTTTTGTCTCGCCTTGACGGCGACGGCGTCAACAATGTATTAGTTTGTGATTAGGTCTAGTTCATGGTGAACCACTAGTGGTAGGTCAATGATATTTGGTATGCAGTTGTATTAGCATTGGCACATCTCATTACCTTGGAGATAATTTGGCCCCACCCCCTCAGTCAAGGTCTATTGACTTTGAAACTTTTCATAGTTTACATGTATTAGTTTGTGATTAGGTCAATTTATGGGGAACCACTAGTGGTAGGTCAATGATATTTGGTATGCAGTTGTATAAGCATTGGCACATCTCATTACCATGGAGATTATTTGGCCCCGCCCCCTCAGTCAAGGTCTATTGACTTTGAAACTTTTCATACTTACATGTATTAGTTTGTGATTAGGTCAATTTATTGGGAACCACTAGTGGTACATGTAGGTCAATAATATTTGGTATGCAGTTGTATAAGCATTGGCATATCTCATTTCCATGGAGATTATTTGGCTCCGCCCCCTTAGTCATGGTCTATAGACTGAAAATTTTGCTACGTTAACATGTATTAGTTTGTGATTAGGTCAGTTCAAGGGGAACCATTAGTGGTAGGCCAATGTTAATTGGTGTTCAGTTGTATAAGCATTAGCACATCTCATTTCCACGGAGAATATTTGGCCCAGGCCCCCTCAGTCATTGTCTATTTACTTTGAAACTTTTGCTTAGTTTACATGTATTAGTTTGTGATTAGATCAGTTTAAGATGAACTGCTAATGTTAAGTCAATGATATCTGGTATGCAAATTTATTGGCATTTGCAAGTATCGTTTCCATGGAGATTATATAGCCCCACCCCTGATCATGGTTCATTGACTTTTAAACTTTTACATAGTTTACAAGTTAATGTTTGTGTTTAGGTTTGTTTAAAGGGAACGACTTATAATAAGTCAATGGTATTTGGTATGCAGTTGTATTAGCATTGGCACATCTCATTCCATGGAGATTGTTTAGCCATGTACCTTCAGTCATGGTTCATCGACCTTGAATATTTGCATTACTTACATATTAAAGTATTGCTATTTTAATTTCAACATTTGCATTATCAAAATTACAAAAAGGCGAGACATATCTCTGTGATAACAGTTTATTAACTTGGAAAATTGCATAGCTTGAGCGCTTGCATTTCTATCCTAGGACATATTCTTTTATTTTTTCAATGCTCTTCTCTTAAACCACTCGGGTACAATCAATGCAAAATTCAGTTAAAAATCCTGAGGGCACCTGTAACTAAGCTGTCAAAATTAAAAATGACTTTCAGCTTCAATTGCCACACTTTAATGAAAATATAACAAAGAAATTGATAAAAATTAAAAATCATTTTTTTAAGGAATTTGTTTACATCGTCGTCTTTTGGTCTCTGGTGGATAGTATGTAATAGAACATCTCATTATTAAAATCAATTTAGATTTAAAAATTTTAACTTTTTTTTCAAATTCGTAACAAGTGGGTCTTGGTACAACACAATATGCATGCTTGCAACCCCCTTTTTAACAAGTTTAAGTCCAAGTACTGTCAAGATTAAGATTAAATTACTAATTATAAGGATTTTTTTTAAGTATACAAGGTACAAACAGGTCGGAGAGGAAAATATACATTGAAGATGTATGCCAATGTCAGGACAAAGAAGAAGGAAGTAGTTAATAAGTTTGTAAAGAAGAACTATAACTCAGATTGTACCTGTGACTTAATGAATGGTCAAAAAGGTAAGTGTTGATAGACAGCCAACATGGCAACAATTCTCCAAAAGTTTCATCAAACATTTTCTATTTGTATAAAACCAGAGAATAATGATCAAACAGCACAGAATAAAGGGCTAAAAACATTAGGAATTGAGGAAATGGGATGCTAAAATCTAAAGAATAGAGAATAATGGACAAAACATTAAAGAGTAGAGAAAAGTAGCATAAAACATTTTAAGTATACAGAAATGAAGATCTCCAATCTAGACTCTAATAGTATGGGTATAACCAGAATTTTATCATATTCATTTTTAGTGTTGTTAAATAATCCGTAAGCAAAATGCAATTTATTTTTCATACATAAAATAAACATTGGAATCGATTTGTGGATTTATAACCTTACCTTTGATCAGTCAGAATAAATGCTTACTCCTATTTTGATAAAAGAACATCACAATTTTCGAGCTGTATTGATGTAATTGTATTTTTGTCTCTCTTGCTAAGAAAATCACAGAATGTGAGAAGTAGGGATGCTAATAAGGTGGTAACAGATTTAACTTCTTGTATATAGAGTAATATTTTAGTAGGAAGAAAAGTCATATGTTGTCTCTAAAGAATCTCATCAAAGATACCAGGCTTATATTTTTGTACACCGGACTTGCTAACTAGAAAAGACTCCATAAGTGATGCTTTCATAAAAAAAAGTTGTGAGGCCGAATAAAGTACGAAATTAAAGATCATTAAGGACCCAAAATTCCAAAAGGTTTTGCCAAATACAGCTAAGGTTATCTATTCCTGGGGTAGACATTCTTAGTATTTCGAAAAATTCAAAGTTTTGTAAACAGTTTATAAAGAACCAATTTGACGACAGTTATATAAATCAATTTATAAATATGATTATATCAGTGATAGTTTATGTCAGCATGTAACATATGGCTTATGATCTGATGTTTTTGTCTGGCATTTGCAGTTTACCCTGACTATATTTTCATGTTTCATTTACTTTCTTAAGGGATATTTACTTAAAATTGTATTTTTAACACAACAAACATGGCTTCTATACTGTAAATAAAACATGCTCATGTTCTTTTTTTCTTTTTATGCCCCGCCGTAGCGGAGGGTGCATTAAGTTTTACCCTTGTCCGTCTGTCCGTCCGTACGTCCCGAAATTGATTTCCGTACTCTAACTTTAGTTTGCCTCAACTAAATGTTATGAAACTTATACACAATGCTTATTACCACAAAACACAGATCAAGATTGAATTTTGGTGGCGTCACTTGTACTGTTTTAGAGTTATGCCCCTTTAAAAATGGAAAAATTGCTGAATTTTTCGTTTCCGTTCTCTAACTTTAGTTTGTCTCAATCAGATGTTATGAAACTTATACACAATGCTTATTACCACAAAACACAAATCAAGTTTGAATTTCGTTGGTGTTTTGTTTACCATTCTAGAGTTATGGCTCTTAACAAATGGAAAAATTCTGAACTTTTCGTTTCCGTTCTCTAACTTTAGTTTGCCTCAACCAAATGTTATGAAACTTATACACAATGCTTATTACCACAAAACACAGATCAAGATTGAATTTTGGTGGGGTCACATTTACCGTTCTAGAGTTATGCCCCATTTAAAAATGGAAAAATTGCTGAATTTTTCGTTTCAGTTCTCAAACTTTAGTTTGCCTCAATCAAATGTTATGAAACTTATACACAATGCTTATTACCACAAAACACAGATCAAGTTTGAATTTCGTTGGTGTTTTGTTTACCATTCTGGAGTTATGACTTTACAAATGGAAAAATTCTGAATTTTTCGTTTCCATTCTCTAACTTTAGTTTGCCTCAACCAAATGTTATGAAACTTATACACAATGCTTATTACCACAAAACACAGATCAAGTTTGAATATTGATGGCGTCCTTTTTACTGTTCTAGAGTTATGCCCCTTTATTACATTATATGCAAGTGGGGGCATCATCTGTGTCCCATGGACACATTCCCCATTTATTTAGAATTTTCTCTTAATAAAGTCTCAAGCATTCTCCACTGAAGGTTTCAATATGGAAGAGCCACTTCATGTCTACGGAACAAGTTAAGAGATTTCAATAATATATGTACAAGCAGATTTTTCTTATCTCTTAGTTTTCTGAGCTATTGAGGACCAAATTTGACAGATTTTGGCTTATTTCTTTCAATATTTTTAAGAGGTTTACATGCATAAAAGGTGAATGTCATCAAATATTTGTGTTTTAATTGATTTAAATACTGTTGTGTTTAATAATGCTTTTTAAATTGATTATAAATGACCCATTAATTTTTTTTTGGGGGGGTGGGGGGGGGGGGGGAATAGAAAATAGCATGAGAGACAGCTTTTTATACGACCGCAAAAGATTTGCGTTCGCATAATGCTATCACGTCGTCGTCCGAAGACATTTGGTTTCCGGACAATAACTTTAGTTCAAGTGTATGGATCTCTATGAAATTTAACAAAAGGTTCAATACTGTAAAAGGAAGGTTGGGATTGTTTTAGGGGCCAAAAAGGGGCCCAAAACAAGCATTTTTCTAGTTTCAGGACAATAACTTGTGTATAAGTATTTTGATTGCTCTGAAATTGTACCACAAGGTTCAATAACACAAGTAGAAGGTTGGGATTCATTTTGGGGGTTATTGCCCAGACCGTTCAGGAATTAGGGGCCAAAACAAGCATTTTTCAATTTTTTTTCCTCAAGATTTAAGAAATTATCAATTTTCCAAAAAAAAAATTGGGGGTCACAATTTATTTTGCTAATTCTTTGTATATAGTCTGAAAACAGATTTACTAAGTATTGCACAACAGCACAGTGTATTGCACAACAGCAAGAAATCTTCAATTGAATATAAATTCAAATCATATGACCAATTTCAAGTTCTTTGACTACATTTATTCTGTGTCCGAAACCTATAATGTGTCAAATATTTAATTACAATCCAAATTCAGACCTGTATCAAGCTTGAATATTGTGTCCATTTTTGCCCCAACTGTTTAGGGTTTGACCTCTGCGGTCGTATCCAGCTGTCCTCGGCGAAGCACTTTATTTTTTGTTGGCAAGATATAATTTAATCTCTCTTTTTCTCTTTTTAGGTAAAGTTCTGGTATTTTCAGAAAGAGACACCTTGGATACTAAAACAAGAACATTAACAATAAATGGCTCTAGCAAAATAGTCAAAGTCAGCAAAGCTTTAGAGAAGGCAGTTTGGCGTCTTGTTAGAAAAAAAAGATGTCGATAAATAATCAAATTCTGCCAGTCAGTATTGTATTTTTATACTCTTTATTTTTTAAGAAGAAAATGATATTTTTGTATTTTATATATTTTTTTTATAATCATTGTACATTAAGAAATCCATTTTAAAAAGTTTGTCGTGTAGCAAATGAACGGGTTGTTCTTTTTCCACCTGTCTCTCTTATTTGTCGCTAGTACTTATATAAACAGTTACAAGTATATTTTTATCAATTATTGAATAACATTTTAAACATACATTTTTAAGGGGTTGTAAACATTTTGTATATGTCTTTTTTTTTAATCTTTTTTAAATATCTAGTTAAATTTTATGATTTTAAATTCCATTTTATATGACTTACAAGAAAATTTTAATTATTCATTTCTATTAGATCAATTTCTAGATAATTTTTTGAGAATTTCTTATATGACCAAAATTGTGGTATTAATGATATTGATATTTTAATTTTTGTTATCTCATTTCTCTGTGCAGATTATCATGTTTGTAAAATATCTAGTAATATTGAATGATTTTTATAAATACATTTTTCTAGTCGCATAATAGCTAGTCAAAATTTAGCATTGTTTACAAAAAATACTCAAGTTTTCAAATAAACTTTTTTCTCAATATATTATGCATCTCACAACAAAAGTTATGTACCACTGCCATTCTTTCCTCTAAATATCAGTAGAATATCATATAGTTGAGCCAAGGAATGTAAACAACAAACATGTCAATACAACATGGGTACATTTATGAAAATAATTTGGTTTTATTTTGGTAGTATGTACTATATATATATATATATATGATAAATATGACTACTTAGATAAAAAACTAGTATTCCCATGTAAAGATTGTCATGTCATGATGGATGTCTGTACAATTCTCATGTATATCATTAACAGCAATTGAACAAACAAAAACAACCAAATGATATATAATTTTCATTAAATTAGTGAATCTCTGCAGTGTTTTTTTTATTATATTGTGTGTATATTGCCTATTCCAAAGTAACCCTATTTCATAAATACACATGTCCTGCCTGCGATAAAAAATGTCTCATAATGCTAGACATAGGTGTGGCTTTTCCAGCAGTGTTGATGAGCGTCAACAAAGGAACTACCTGTGATAGATCAATGATACTTTCTATAAAGTTGCATTGCTATCATTGCATATCAGTTTGACAACTATTTTGAGGCCCTGCCCCCTAGGTCATGGTACATGAACTTTCAATTAACAAGCAATTTTCAATGTTAAGTTTTCTTCTTAAGTTAGGTTGATAGGAACTACTTTTGATAGATCAATGATATTTTTTTTAAAGTTGCATTACTATTATTACATTTCAGTTTATCAACCATTTCGAGAGCCTGCCCCCTAGGTCATGGTCCAGTGACTTTGAATTAATTAGCAATTTCCAATGTTAAGTTTTCTGCTTAAATCTGTTTGTTCGGAACTACTTGTGATAGATCAATCATATTTTTGTCCCCCCGTGTAATGCATTGCTGGGGACATGGAAATACCGGGCGTCTGTCCCGTCTAGTTAGGGCTCTCACATGTAAAATTCATGCCAGATTTTTATCATAGGTTTATATCAGCAATGTCTTGGACAAGTTCGAAAATCAGGCCTTGACGGAGTCAAAAAGCAAGACATAGGTATGCTGTTTCCGGCGGCGGCAGCGTTAACAATGTATTAGTTTGTGATTAGGTCTAGTTCATGGTGAACCACTAGTGGTAGGTCAGTGATATTTGGTATGCAGTTGTATAAGCATTGGCACATCTCATTACCATGGAGATTATTTGGCCCAGCTCCCTCAGTCAAGGTCTATTGACTTTGAAACTTTGCTTAGTTTACATGTATTAGTTTTTGATTAGGTCAGTTTATGGGGAACCATTAGTGGTAGGTCAATGATATTTGGTATGCAGTTGTATTAGCTTTGACATATCTCATTACCATGGGGATTATTTGGCCCCGCCCCCTCAGTCAAGGTCTATTGACTTTGAAACTTTGCTTAGTTTACATGTATTAGTTTGTGATTAGGTCAGTTTATGGGGAACCATTAGTGGAAGGTCAATGATATTTGGTATGCAGTTGTATTAGCTTTGACATATCTCATTACCATGGGGATTATTTGGCCCCGCCACATCAGTCAAGGTCTATTGACTTTGAAACTGCTTAGTTTACATGTATTAGTTTGTGATTAGGTCAGTTTATGGGGAACCATTAGTGGAAGGTCAATGATATTTGGTATGCAGTTGTATTAGCTTTGACATATCTCATTACCATGGGGATTATTTGGTCCCGCCCCCTCAGTCAAGGTCTATTGACTTTGAAACTTTGCTTAGTTTACATGTATTAGTTTGTGATTAGGTCAGTTTATGGGGAACCATTAGTGGTAGGTCAATGATATTTGATATGCAGTTGTATAAGCATTGGCATATCTCATTTCCATGGAGATTATTTGGCCCCACCTCCTCATTCATGGTCTATTGACTTTGAAACTTTTGCTTAGTTTTCATGTATTAGTTTGTGATTAGGTCAGTTTAAGGGGAACTGTTAGTGGTAGGTCAATGATAACTGGTATGCAGTTGTATAAGCATTAGCACATCTCATTTCCATGGAGAATATTTGGTCCTTACCCCTCATTCATGGTCTATTGACTTTGAAATTTTTGCTTAGTTTACATGTATTAGTGTGTGATTAGGTCAGTTTAAGATAACCACTAATGTTGTCAATGATATTCGGTATGCAAATGTATTGGCATTTGCAAGTTTCATTTCCATGGAGATTATATAACCCCACCCCTTAACTATGGTTCATTGACTTTGAACTTTTTACATAGTTTACAAGTTAATGTTTGTGTTTAGGTTTGTTTAAAGGGAAAAGTCAATGGTATTTGGTTTGCAGTTGTATTAGCATTGGCACATCTCATTTCCATGGAGATTGTTTAGCCCTGTACCTTCAGTCATGGTTCATTGATTTTGAATATTTGCATAACTTACATGTTAAAGTATTGCTATTTTAATATCAACATTTGCATTATCAAAATAACAAATAGGCGAGACATATCTCTGTGTTAACAGTTTATTTTTAAAAGAGTTATGCCCTTCGGACACATTAATTTTATGGAAAATTGCATCGTTAGCGCTCTCATGTACAATTCTTGCCAGAATTTTATGAAACTTATATCATGGGTTTAAATTAGCAATGTCTTAGACGAGTTCGAAAATCAGTGCAGATCAATTATTTTTAAAAGAGTTATGCCCCTTGGAAACATTAATTATATTGAAAATTGCATCGTTAGCACTCTCATTTGTACAATTCTTGCCAGATTTTTAGGAAACTTATATCATAGATTTATATTAGCAATGTATTGGACGAGTTCGAAAATCAGTGCCAATAAATTATTTTTAAAAGAGTTATGCCCCTTTGAAACATTAATTTTATGGAAAATTGCATCGTTAACGCTTTCATGTGTTCAATTCTTGCCAGATTATTATGAAACTTATATCATAGGTTTATATCAGCAATGTCTTGGACGAGTTCAAAAATCAGTGCTCATCAATTATTTTTAAAAGAGTTATGGCCCTTGGAAAAATAAATTATATGGAGAATTGCATTGTTAGCGCTCTCATATGTACAATTCTTGCCAGAATTTTATGAAACTTAAATCATAGGTTTATATTAGCAAGGTCTTGGACGAATTTGAAAATCAGTGCTGATCAATTATTTTAAAAGAGTTATGCCCCCTGAAAATATTGATTATATGGAAAATTGCAATGTTATCGCTCTCATGTGTTCAATTCTTGCCAGAATTTTATGAACTTTGACTTATATCATAGGTTTATATCTTTCGAAAATAAGTTCTGATCAAATATTTTTAATGAGTTATACCCCTTGGAAATATAGATTATAATGGAAATCACATTGCATTTGCTATGAAGCCTTCATTTCTCTTAACCCCTTCGCCCCCAATCCCGCCTGTAGTCGTGATGGCGACCATCATTCTGTGATGGCCTGTATGACCCTCCATACTTTTTTAGAACTGTCCCAGCTGAACTGTCTTGACAGCAGGGACTTCAACCATGCAATTCATGGTCCATATACTCTTCTCAGATGTGTGTTTATGAAAATATGGCAACTTTAATGGCCTTTCCGTTTTAGAGTTCAAAATCGGAAAAACGTGAAAAGTAGCCAAAATCAGGTGGGGGTGGGAGTCTTTTGATGGCCACTACGTTACTGGTATGGTCTTTATGTATTAACTATTATCATAAACACATGCATAGGTGGTAAAGGAACACAAGGAGGTATAATATTGCCAAAGGAAATCTGGTCTGCAAAAATCTAGGTCAACGTTTTGTCAGAAATCTGTAAAAACCGACATTTAGGCAGACCTGGCTTGCCAATAATAATTCCCCCGAAAGACACTCAAGTCACATTTACTTCCAGTCAGTATGGATGGACTGCTGTAACTATAAAGTAATACTTGAATGACAAATAAACACAGTTTGGTCAATGTTCACCACTCAAGGTCGTATCAAAATCGAAAAATAGACTGAAAATGACCATTTTTCAGTAAGGGTGGGTTCAAACCCAACAGAAAATATACCACCTCCCAAGAAAATATACAACCTCCCACCCCACCCCACCCCACCCCACCCCACTCCCACGCCCCACGCATGCCATTCGCCCCCAATACATAGTTTAAGATCAGCATCAGCTACAGCACCAAGAGTCTACTAATTTGCATATAATTTACATATGTTTGCAAATTTTCGAAAATGCCTAATTTTCCAGAAATCTCTTGGGGTTCAATGAGTTAAGATATGTATTAATAAAAGGTTTTAAAGAACAAAAAAAAAGTGCTTTTTTTAGTTATTGCCCTTGTACCTTGGATAGATAAAATATGTGCAACGCGAAGGAATTTGGAACTCTGTTCTTTTATTCTTGTTGCATTACTATCAATATATATGGAATAGGATCCCGGTTACAGGATACCAGTCCAGTACCCACGAATGAAGTCCCTTAATAAATCTACCATCTTTTAAATGGGATATTGTACTGAGATGAAAATTATGTAAAGATGCTTAAATTTGTAGTATATATAAAGGGTATTCATTAAACTTTCAACTTCTGTTAAGTTTTAAGTGGTTCTGAAATGTATAGGGTGGATGATTGTCTGCGTAAATGGTCCAAATTTTATTTTCGATTTTAACAAGGAAGTTAATAAAAATGACCCTATAAATACTCAAAACAGTATTGTTCTCTTAAATGCCGGTCATGCCCACTCAAGAATTCTCCCAGAAACCATGAAGGGGGCTACTAGTATGAGAAAGTAATTGAAATTTTGCAGTCTAAAATAGGGAATAAAATATCTGCCCCTCAATTTGGATAAAATTGCATTGAAGTAATGGGGGAAATAGTTGGGTCCCCATTTCATATATCAGTTTGATGACTATTTTGAGGCCGTGCCCCTTAGGTCAGGGTCCAATGACTTTCAAAATTGATATAATTAAATGGAACGGTAACATGCTTGAAATGGAATTTCATCTGAAAATATGGAAGGTCATAAGAAAAAATTATTCATGTGAATTTGAAATTTGGAATCTTTGTAGAGTCCAAAATCAATAATCCTAACAGATTTAAAAAGATTGGGTAGGAGTTCTTAAATTTGTACTATCAGAAGAAAATTGCTTGATTCAAATTGTCCATGCAGTTACAGAGAATAAGGTGAAAATATGATTCCCCATTAGCTTGAATGAAAACCTGAAAATAACTCTCATAGTTCTTGATAGTTTAAGATATGACCCATTTTGCCATTTTGTTACTTTAAGATAAGATCCATATGTCCATTGTGTTACTTTAAGATGTGATCCATGTGGTCATTTTGTTACAAGAGACATCCAAGACCAAAAAGGATGAAAGTTCCCATTGAATGAACTCTGCAGAGAAAACAAAAGCTATTG